CTTCCAGGTACTTCATACGCGTTTAAATTCAAAATAAATAAGTTTATTCACAGAAACACCGCGAGAGTGGCTACAATTCTTTAGGTTGTACAGTTGGTGCTCTATTCATTCAAACTATAATAGATATCCAAAGAAGTTTTCAAAAATCAACTGTATATAAAGTAAACATCAAGGCAGTGATATAGGATATACCTGATTAAACTGAACCATCAGAATGTTGATTAATCTTGTATTCGCTCACTTTGGCATCAATTACTGAGATTAAATTCCTACAACTCGGAAAATGAATCGAATTCTGTCCCAAATAACCAACAATACCAAGTCCAAAGAGATCGGAAACAGCGGCGTAATCGAAAATCTCAATTGTTCTCTAATTGATTAGTGGCGGGGAACCATGTAAAACTCCACCTGCCTCCGTATATCCTGCAACAGACGTCTAAGCGAATAAAACAATTAATTACCAGCACAACAAAACGTAGAATCAGGCGAAGAACAATGCCAGGACAATTCATGAGTGAGTCCTGATGGGATTCAACTCGTCCGGGTGTAGTCTCTCCGGAGTCTATAACTCGTTTTTGCCACATCCTATCGCGTGAGGCTTTATCCCGTAATTAGTGAAATGAAATACCCATCGAACGAAACGGAAGGTTTTTATCGAAAAAGGGGAATTAGAAAAGTTTTTAATAGGTCCGTAGGAAAGTTTGTCGAATTGACTTTCGCGCGTGGAGGTGTCTGTCCTTTTTGAGGGTTGTTTAGACTGGTTCAAGGCTTTTTCATTACGTAATGACGTATCAGGTTGCCAATCTACGAACAAGATATAACGTTCAATAAACATAGGGCCTTAATAAAATGCTATTCTTGACAAAAACGAGTTCAAGAAGTTCTGCAATGATTCAAATGTATACAGGGCTTTTCATGATGAGCGTTTCTGGCAAACTATTCAACAGATCAACCTGAACATTCCACAGTATGCATAAGTCAATATGACCTACACGCCTAAAATATTTTAGACGAAGAGGCGTTGTCGCTTCTACTATAAAGTAGCGGCTTCTTTGATTTTTCAAATGCAACACCCCGTATATAATATCATATTATGATTCATTATCACTTTGTCAACAAATTCATATACTATTTCCCTATACCTATCTATTACCGTTTAGAAGATATAAATTAATTTCGATATTTTTTTTACCAAACATGAACTTTTATAAATGCTGATAATCTTGAACTCTCTTGTACTGAAACGATCAAATTTGAATTGAAGTGGAGTGATACTATGAGGATCTTGACTCCGAGTCATATTTTCATTTGCCTCATACAGGGTCTTCAAAAAATGCAGATACTTTGATCTCATGAAAAAATGAGTGTAACTCAATTTTTTCAAATGGAACACCCTGTATATTTCAACATTTTTGAGCTCTACATCCAATTTTAGATTAACTCTGTTCAGATAATACTATTTCTATTTTGAACCGTTTTCGAGATAAACTGTTTCAAACGGAAATTGACATGGTTTCCTTGTTCATCACTCATTTTTGTAAAACAGATTTCGTTTGATGTTTCTCAATTAGTCACAGATAATACAATGAAAAGATAATTATTTGAATACTCCTCAACCATCGAATGAAACTTCTCTTCAAACAATAGTTTTATTAACGCTGAAATACGAACTGAAAATAATTAACCCATAAATTATTGAGTTAATTTAATCGTCAGTGTATTTCAGAATATGTTCAAACACATCTCCACCTATACTTGAACAAACATGTAATCTCTTCAAAAGATTGTTATGTGTAGCGCTTCTGATCAAGTCTGGAGTCAAACTATTGAAAGCAGTTGTAACTCTCGATTTCATATCTTCCATTGGTGTGATTGGAGTAGAATAAACCATTTTTCAATGAAACCCCACACGAAATAATCTAATGGATTGCCATCTGGTGTTCTAGGAGGCCAACGAAAAGGTCCATTATTACCAATCCATCTGTCTTCGAAGATTTCGGTTAAAGCTTCGCTGACTGAATGAGAATTATGGGGTGGAGCACCATCCATTTGGTACCATACACGTTCTCTTCCTGGTCTATTATTTAAAATCATTTGAATTCCATTCCTCAGTGAATGTTCATATTTTGATGCAATCAAACTATCATCATAAAACTTGATATAAAAAATTGACTCATTCTTCATGGCACAGAATACATTGAATTGCCATCTTTCATGTTTCACTTGCAATTCTATTGCACTCACCATAAATCATTAATGTGTACTGTTGTACGTTAGAGACCAATACCTCAATGTAGGTATACAAATTGTAACTTTTTCTAAGGTACGTACATACCAAATTCGAATTGACTGATCTGAGACAGTTAAAAAACTGGTTCAAAAAGAAATATTACTAAGTATAAAAAAAAATGTTGAATATCCAAAATAAGTTATGAATTCAAAAAAACGAGCAAGAAAACCACGTCAGTTTCCGTTTGAAACAGTTTATCTCGAAAACGGTTCAAAATAGAAATAGTATTATCTGAACAAAGTTAATCTAAAATTGGATGTGGATCTTAAAAATGTTGAAATATACAGGGTGTTCCATTTGAAAAAATTGAGTTCCACCCATTGTTTTATGAGATCAAAGTATCTGCATTTTTGGAAGACCCTGTATGAGGCAAATGAAAATATGACTCGAAGTGAAGATCCTCATCGTATCACTCCACTCCATTTCGAATTTGATCGTTTTAGTGCTAGAGAGTTCAAGATTATCAGCATTTATAAAAGTTCATGTTTGGTAAAAAAAATATCGAAATTTATATCTTCTAAACGGTAATAGATAGGTATAGGGAAATAGTATATGAATTTGTTGACAAAGTGATAATGAATCATAATATGATATTATATACGGGGTGTTCCATTTGAAAAATCAAAGAAGCCGCTACTTTATATTAGAAGCGAAAACGCCGCTTCGTCTGAAATATTTTAGGCGTGTAGGTCATATTGATTTATGCATACTGTGAAATTTTCAGGTTGATCCGTTGAATAGTTTGTCAGAAACGGCTAATTAACGCTCATCATGAAAAGCCCTGTAGAGTCGTCCAACAGGGACAAAATGACAATTTGGAAATGTGAAACGCCTTACGCTCGTTATAAATAGAAAATCACTGAGCATAAAAAACATGACAATAATTAGAAATTTTCACAATATAGACTTTTTATTTTCAATACGCGTTTCACTTCACAGTAGTTTCTTCAGGTGAACTGAAACTCTAAACTAATGTATAATGAAATTTGTACAAATTAGAAACTTTAATTAATAAAGATTACTAATTGGTGAACAGGTAGTAGTAAGAATAGGTATCCAGGCGGTATGAAGCAGATAAAATTATTGCTACTAATTATTCGACTAATTCTAGGAAATTATTCCATGAGAATAAATTTAACAGAGATGAGAGACCATCTTCTTATTGGTCGTTCAAGAGGAAACTTACTTATCAACGTTTATTAATTTTCGAAGATTCTGTAGGTAGCACGTCGTGATTAACATAAAGGTCATAGTTATTTTCCAACAGATGGCATTAGTTAAATTAGTTTTATTCAATTATAAACTTCTTTTGTGTTCGGAGATTCTGATTTTGAAATTTCTAAAAGTGCTTTCAATAAAACTTATGGGCATGAGGTACATTTAAGCGTAGATAGACATAAACAGACATAAACAGGAATAGTGAACAAGACGTAAACAAGACATGTCAAGGGCTTTGACAGGACGTAGACAAGACTTCGATAGAACATAGACAGGACATGGGCAGGACATAAACAGGACATGGATAGGATATTGACAGGACTCAGACACGACATTGGCAGGATATGTGCAAGACATTGACAGGACATAAATAGGATATGGACAGGACATACACAGAACTTCAGCAGTATCTGATTCGATAGAACATAGACAAGACTGGGCAGGACGTAAACAGGACATGGATAGGATATTGACAGGACTTGGCAGGATATTGGCAGGATATGGACAGGGCATAGACAGAACATGGACATGACATGGACAGGACATGGGCAGGACATAGACAGGACATTGATATGACAGAGTGGACATGGGCAGGACGCATCTCATGTAACTTTTTTGTAACAGAGATCAACATATTGAAAGTATAGCTCAGAAAACTCCTGCTTGGAATATTCGCAATGCCGAGGTATTTTCTGCATTCAGTATAATGGAAGTAACAGGTAACAAATCATTCTGTTCTTGATATGTTCAACAGGAGGCTTATAGATGATGTTAGTTTTTGAAAATTTACTTAGAACTTATGTAATTCATTTGCTAATTTTGTATTTCTCTGTCAAATCACAAATGTGTTTCTAAGTCGAATTATGAATTATTTATTCATAATTTTTATTTATTTTGCTATTTTCCTCATAATGTTGTGAATAGGGTTTTCACGTTGAATGAATAAATGAAAATAATACAAACACATGATTCAGAAATGAGTGAACCTAAATAATTTATCTCTCAAAATGTTATTTCATGTTACCCTGCCTATGTGAATAAAATAAATAATCAAATGCAAGATATGCTACGAAATCGACCGAAAACAAACTTAGAGGGACTAAAATAGTTTGTTTTATACTTGTGGAATGTAAAATATAGGAACATCAAATCTCTGTTTGCTCTTTAGAATAATAGAATGAATCAATCAAACCATCAGTCGAATCACACAACGTCCGACTCGATTGACCAAAATATATTAAACGTTTGCTGAAGTCTTTCTCCATTTTTTCCTAATTTTCTGCATTACAATTATCATGTTACTATGTGAATGACAACAAATAGTAAAAAATGTTTTGTTTTAAATAGATTTGCCTAATTCTGTCATCTTCCAGTCAATGGACGAAGCAATTTCCGCACATCAGTTTGAGTTATAGCTATCAGCTAGTAGATGTCAGCACCTACACAGAAGTGTATGTTATTAAAATCTGTTATTCTTAATATTGTGTTACAGGGTTTGTATTGATCGGAATGAAAATTGGAGATGTTCCTTCGAAATCACATTACAATGATGCTGCATACTGGAATTTACCAGACGAACTAACCCAAAATATAGAAAGCTTGCACAATCCATATGACAACCCCAGTTTTGAGATTCCTAAAAATGAAGGAGTAATAGAGGAATAATGGAGTTTAGGATCCACGATAACAGATGTCGCAACAAAAAGTGATACACACGTATTTTCTGGAAAATACAGATTTGGATTATTTGTAAATAGATTTTTGAGCTGTCTTGTTTGATGATCTTGCAAACTTTTATGATCTATGAATTTCATTGTGGAATGTTTTTTTATTTTTCATAACGGACTGTAGAAAGATGCATACCTACTTTTAATGTATAAATAGAATCAATATCAATTAAGGAAGCGCTTTGGTTTATATCGATTTTTAATTGGTTCTAAGAAAAGTAGATGAAAAATGTATTTAATAGGTTTATTCAGTTAACTCCTCAATGGTTTCAAAGTTGTATTAAAGCAGTTCCCCATATACTTATTAAGTATTGTGAAAAATGAGAAATGTAAATTTCCATGTTTTTTCACCACTTGTATTTGTTACTGAGGTAAGGAAGTTTCATTTCTCATTTTTCATGGTGATCTCCTACCACATTGTTAGCTCTACATCCATCAATTTATTAATTAAATATTGTAATTTTGAATGAATGAGTGAGAAGTAAATTAGCTACAGATGCTTTAAAGAAATATAGTTTTTTGTTTCATATAGAATCTCAATGAGTGTAGCTACTTTTTTCGAATGACATCGATCTGGATATTCCACAAAAGAGTTTCATAAATGTAAATCTGAAGACTGAGCACTAGTGGACCTTTCAATTTTGTTGTATCCTAACAATAATTTGGAAGTTTTTGTCTTTCAGGGCTTTTTCAAAATTAAAAGTTTATTTGTAAATGTTGAGCCAAATATCTATTAGTTTTGAATCGGCTTCCATGTGTGTGTCTATTAATTGTTAATCTTTATTGCAATATATCAAATTTTTATAATCAGAAAATAATACTAATTTTCCAAAAAGTTGTAATTCCGAAATGGAATTTATATAAATGAGAAGGAGTAAAGGTCCTAATGTAGATCCCTGCGGTACTCCGGAAACAATTCTTTTAAATAACTATTCTTATTGTCCCAAGCCAGACATATTGTTTCTCATCATTTGAATGATTTTGCAATCATAAAAATGTCATACCTCTAATCAAATAATTTGTTCAACAAAATTTCATGATTAACTGTATCAAAAGCTTTACAGAGGTCTAATGACGGAGTCCACATTGTTTACGCATCATTCTAACTGAATGATAGAGATGATATCCTTTATCACTATCCACTATCCTGTATCACTAGACCTTCGTCCTGTATCACTAGTCATATTGATTCCAAATAAGAGGTAGCAATTCTGATTTAACTCTCTTTATAATTTTGGTTATAATTTCATCAAATCCACAGTTTTTTGTACCCAAATCATTAGTTATATCTTTTATCTTATCATAGATTATTACTGGCTTCAAATAAATTGATTTTGGATAACTCATTCTTATCACAATGTGGCCATAATGGTTGTGGATAGTGGACATGACAGGACATAAGAGAATATGACAGGATATTACATGGGGCTAGGCCATGGATAGGACATGGTCGGAACGTAGACAGAACATGAACAGGACATGACAGTACTTTGACAAATAATTGACAGGGCATCGACAGGACATAAATAGGAGAACATGAACAGAACATAGACAGGAAATGGATATGACATGGATATTGTTTGAACTTGTTGATTTAGATACAAGAAATAAATGAATTGCAAATATCTCAATAATCTGTTATACATTGCCATCTCAAGAATTTAAGATATAGTTGGTAGAACAGAAATCGGTCTATAATTGTTAACATAATTTTTTTTCTTTTTTGAAAATCGGCAAAACTTTGACAATTTTCGATTTTTAAAGAATCAAATGAAATATTGAAAGGTTTTTGAAGCAGAGGTGGCAATTCTGATTTAACTGTGTAATTTTGGTTGTAATATCAAATCCAGAGGCTTTTTTGTAATCAAATCATCAATTATATCTTCTATCTTATCATAAGTTACTGGTTTCAAAATTGATTATGGATAAATCATTCTCATTTTTCTCTCGGTGGTCACAATGGTGGTTGATAGTGGACTTGAGAGGACATAAGAAAATATGACAGGATATGACATGGGGCTAGTCCATGGATATGACATGTCATGCCATGAACATGGCATGGGCCTAGACCATGGATAGGACAGGACAGAACATGGGACGGAACACGGGACATGACAGGACATGGTTGAAACGTAGACAGAACATGAACAGAACATTGACAAGACATGACAGTACTTCGACAGGACATTGACAAACAATTGGCAGGACATGGATAGGACATGAACAGAAAGTAGACAAGAAATGGACATGACATGGATATGGTTTGGACTTGTTGATTTAGATATAAGGAATAAATGGACTGCAAATATCTCAATAAGCTGTTATACATTGCGCTCTGAAGAATTTAAGATATAATTGGTAAAACAGAAATCGGTCTATAATTATTACCATTATCTTTTCTACTTCTTTGAAAATCGGCAAAACCTTGACAATTTTCGAATTTTGAAGAATCAAAAGGAAAATTGAAGGGTTTTTGAAGCAGAGGTGGCAATTCTGATTCAACTCTATAATTTTGGTTGTAATATTATCAAAACCAGAGGCTTTTTTTGTAATCAAATCATCATTTATATCTTCTATCTTGTAATAAGTTACTGGCTTCAAAATTGATTTTGGATAAATCATTCTTATCTTTCTCTGAGTGGTCACAATGGTGGTTGATAGTCGACATGACAGGATATAAGAAAAAATGACAGAATATGACATGGGGCTAGGCCATGGATATGACATGAGGCAAGGCCATGGACATGACATGGGACAGGACAGAACATGGGACAGGACAGAACATAGGACAGGACAGAACATGGGACAGGACAGAACATGGGACAGGACAGAATATGGGACAGGACAGAACATGGGACAGGACAGAACATGGAACAGGACAGGACATGGTCGAAACGTAGACAGAACATGAGCAGGACATTTTCAGGGCATGAAAGTACTTCGACAGTACATTGCCACATAATTGACAGGACATGGATAGGACATGAACAGAACATGGTTTGGACTCGTTGATTTGGATACAAGGAATAAATGGACTGCAAATATCTCAATGAGCTGTTATACAATGCGCTCTCAAGAATTCAAGATTTAATTGGTAAAACAGAAATCGGTCTATAGTTGTTAATATTATGTTATTTGAAAATCGGCAAAACCTTGACAAGTGTCGATTTTTGGAGAATCAAACGAAATATTGAAGGGTTTTTGAAGCAGAGGTGGCAATTCTGATTCAGTTCAGTAGTCGCAATAGTGATTGATAGTTTTTAACCATAATTAACGAAGTGACCATTGAAACTCTCACAAATTTCAGTATTGTTTCATTTGTTTTCTATCAAAATTAGGTGAAAAACAAACAGACGTACAAAAAATCAATTTATTTCATTTACTGTACAAACATTCACAAAAAAATAATTGTTATATCTCTAAATAGGAATTGATTTTCAGACATGAGGTACATATTAAAGTTCTCAGGTTTCCCATCACTTTCTGAGATGAGCGACGAATGACTTTCAACAATATGGCACTCGAAAAAGTGAATCATACAGAGGAATGTTTCTGGAACTAAATGTGTTGCCAATCGCGGTACATCAAACTGAAGAAAGCCAATAAGCCCGAAACACAAATACCTATACCTTTGGGTCGCTATCTTGAGTTCTGAACAATAAACTATTTGCATTTCACGGTTTGGTCATTCAATATAATATATATGTTTACAAATTTCTCGACCAACCTCGTACAGGCATTCCAAATTCATTTTTTGTATTATTAATTTTCAAATCAGTATTTTGAAAATAATTTACAGAAATTGTGAAATGTTCCTGAATACCTGTGAAATATTCCAGTAAACAACAAGATAACAATTACAAGAAAATATAAACATGGAGTACCTAATAAATTAACGTAAAGTAAACTTCTCTTGAAATAATTTCTCAGTCATCAAAAAATTATTTTTCAGTAAAATGAGTAGATGAATCACTCCGAATCGAAGAATATATATTTCTCAGTCGCTGAAGACTTCATATATAAAATAAAACAAAAAAAATACACACTCTTGTTTGTATTTTTTGTTTCATTTTGGCGACGAAAAAACACCAACTGTTTATAACTAGTAACATTCTATCAAAAATAATAAGAGATAATTATGGTAAAAAAATCATGTCACTCTCACTAAAATAAAACCGATAGAGTTAATACAAAACTATAATATTTACCCGTAAAAAATATTTGAAAAATGAAAAGATTTCTGTAATATGTAAAACAGCACAGATGCTAGTCTGACAGAGCTACGAAGGATTCAAGAACGAATAATACAAACTAATTTTTGGCATGTTTTGCACATACTTTGCATTATACCTAGAGTACTTGACACAAAATTCTGAAATAAAAAAATATTTATAAACGATTCGAAAAGTATAAAGAAATGCTGACACCATCTTGCTACGTGGATTAAAAGTTTCGCAAGATTTTGTCAGAACTTCTATCGATTAATCAACAAGTTTTCCACAACATCCCCTCTGCGAGTACAGAGATTATCACATGAGGTGCATATTAGATATTTTTCCGAATTTTCAGATGGGATTTTTCGGCTTGATGAATTTCATAAGAGAGTTTCGTTATGTACTAAAACCCCATTGATTTTATCAGACCAATTACAAATTTAATGATTTCAGTTTGTACCTACTCATATTTATTGTACTTTCACAGCCTTTTGTATAAAAAATAAATTCATGTGAAATTTTAGACACCGCAATTACATTCTTGAATTGATGAATTTGATCAAACTCATTCGATATGTGAACCACATGATGACTCTTTATAACTCTTTACATTTTCGGTAGTATGACACCCAGAAGTACCGGGCCTAACCTAGAGATGGCGGTAGTTGCTTAAAGAATATCACTGTATTAGAAAGTAAACAATCCTTGAAGCATAATTTTCAAGTTTGAAGACGCTGCGTTGTTTAGTATTTGTTTGGCAGCCATCTACAGGGAACATTTTCGGTAAATTTTTAAAAAAAAATTGGTCATTGTTATGTGGTACAATATTCTTTTATTTGAAAGACCTCAGCCCAACCAATATAAAAGTTGAACTGGATTCTACTCTGGGTTAGCCTGCTCCTTCGTTCATAAGGATGAAATATTGGGAAGCAGAGTTTGAACGAGGCCGTACGAGTTGCCAAGACAGGATCGCAATGGTTGACCATGGACATGACATGGGCCAAGGCCATCAATGGAGCTAGGCCATGGACATGACATGGGCCTAGGCCATGGATAGGATACGGACAGGACAGAACATGGGACAGGACATGGTCGAAACGTAGACAGAACAAGTACAGGACATTGACAGGACATGACAGTACTTCGACAGGACATGACAGTACTTCGACAGGACATGACAGTACTTCGACAGGACATTGACACATAATTGACAGGACATGGATAGGACATGAACATAACATAGACAGGAAATGGACATGACATGGATATGGTTTGTACTTGTTGATTTAGATACAAGGAATAAATGGACTGCAAATATCTCAATGAGCTGTTATACATTGCACTCTCAAGAATTTAAGATATGATTGGTAAAACAGAAATCGGTTAATAATTGTTAACATTATCTTTTTTACATTTTTGAAAATCGGCAAAACCTTGACAATTTTTGATTTTCGAAGAATCAAACGAAAAATTGAAGGGTTTTTGAAGCAAAGGTGGCAATTCTGATTCAAATCTATGATTTTGGTTGTAATATTATCAAATCCAGACATTGAGAAACCACCTGAAACTGGCTCGAAACAACGAGTATTAGGAGCTAAATCCATCCTAACCAAACAACAAGAAAATGACTTAGCGGAAAAAATAATTGAATTCACACAAAAAGGATTTCAGCTTACTCCTAGGATACTTCGTGGTACCGATCATTTATGAAACGTCACCAAATATTTCTCAGCGAAAAGCACAGCAGCTCAACCCAGCGCATGCGCAGAAACTGAATCATTTTATTGTTGATGATTATTTTAAAACGTTGAATAAACTTTTGGAGCGAACTGGCCTAAAATACAAATTTGGGAACATTTATAACATGGATGAAAAGGGTTGCAGGTTCATGCTACACCATCAGCAGCGAGTGTTGGCTGAAAAAGTATCCAAAAGAGTGCATTTGGTGGGATCAGAACACTGGGAAAATGTATGGTCACGTAATACCACCTATGATTATATTTGAGGGCAGAAGTGGAAACCCACTTTTGCGGATGGGCTTCCAGCAGGTTCTATTGTGCATATAACACCAAAAGGGAGCATGACAACGGAGATTTTCATTAAATGGTTGGACCATTTTCCAAACTCCCCTCCAACGATCCTTATTTTTGATGGCGCAGCTAGCCATTTAGATATAACTATCGCTGATAAAGCAGGATCTCTACAAATTGAACTTTTGTGTTTAACTAGCAACACTACCCATGAACTTCAGCCAATGGATAAGTCCATATTTCGTTATTTTAAATCTCACTGGGATCAAGAACTCCTGGGATCAACATTCTGATAGAAAAGTAAACAAGTAGAGGTTTTCTGATGTCTTCACTCCAGTTTGGGGAAAGAGTATGACTATCAGCAACGTTACCAGCATGAACATATTGAGAACCATGATCCCAAATCCATGATGATGTCAGGAAAGATTTGAATATGGAATATCAGTGGAATTCAGAGGATGAAATCCCACTAGCATGGTTAATTAATTAAGAAGCCCACAACCCCGGACATGCAGCCTACTAAAAGAGATGTATTCAAGGACGACAGCTCTAAGAAAATTCCTACTTCATCAAAGAAGATTGAGAAGTCAGCTGATTTGCCGACCACTAACAAAGCTGCGGCTACAGAAGTCTGGATGTGGTCAGTTTGCGTCAATGATAATGTGGCTGATATGAGATCCTGTGTATCATGGGGTACCTGGATGCATGAGGAACGTGTTGGTCTCTCAAATGATGACACAGAAGACTTCACCTGCCCAGAATGCATGCCATGAACTCTTTCGTCTGTTGGGCTTATTGCCTGCCTTGATTATTCACTCTTGTCCTTATAACCTGCCTGTGCTGATAACTTTAACTTTTTTCCTGTTCATTCCTGTTGAGTGTGAACGTTCATTTTGAAGTCCTATATTATTATAATATTATAAAATATATGTATAAGCCAAAGCTTAGATATGCTTATAGTTTACGAACTAAATTGAGTTTTTCCTTAACCTGGCCTTATTACCCAACAGTACCTTATATTATCTGAAAATTTGCACATGAGAAAGCTGTGTGCAAGATGGGTGCCGCGTTTGCTCACACTAGAACAAAAACAGTAACGCGAAGATGTAGAATTCTTGGGTCTTTTCATTACCATGGACGAAACATGGGTCCATCACTATACACAGGAGATAAAAGAACGATCAAAACAGTGTAATCAAAAGGGAGAATCGGTTCCAAAGGAGGCAAAGACCGTTTCATCTACAGGCATCGGTTTTTTGGGATGCGTGTGGGATAATTTTCATCGACTATCTTAAAAAAGGTAAATCTATCAACGGCGAATATTATGCGAACTCAGTGTGACGTTTGGGTGAAGAAATCAAGCAAAAACGGCCGCATTTGTTGTTTCATCAATCCATTATCGCAATAACCAAAATCAACGAGTTGAAGTTGCACCCCATTCACCAGATCAAGCCTCCTTCATTGATTTTCTGTTTGCAAACTTGAAAAAATAGCTCGGTGGTCAAAGATTTTCCAACGATGAGGAAGTTATATCGGCAGTTAATGGCTATTTTGAGGAGCAAGACAGTTATTATTATAAAAACGGTTTCGAACTCAAAGAACATTGCCGGGGAAAAAGTACAGAGCTGCAAAGAGACTATGTTGAAAAATAAATACATTTTTTTTTCAAAATTTTTGTGTTTTCTTTGTTGGGCTAGGTACTTCTAGGTCCACCCACGTATAACTGACCGATACTCGATGAAAATTCATTATAACGTATTCAAAAGACACGTTTTATAGCAAGTCGAAATCTCACATTGATGTGTGTTTTTTAAATACATTTTCGATGGCGTATATATTTAAAAAATAAGGATCAAGTGAGGATATATTAGAAGCAGGCTACAGAACAAACTGTACCTAATTCCAAAATTATTGCATAAATCTGATTGTGCATAGCCCCTTTTTTCATTTATATACACTGCATTCACAATGGAATAGATCAAAGTAAACAATAATAGACTGTTGTATCTTTTCAAAAAGTGAAATGCGTCTTGACACAATATACAGTAAATAAAATCATCCTCAGGAATTTCAATAAGTAGCTTTCATGTTCATATCACTGCAAGCTGAATTAATTCTCCTAGAGATAAAAGTTCAATTGAAGTGTATTCATTCATCGAAAATCTAGTGTTGAAATTGATTATTACTTTTTTTTTCTAATCGAAATAAAAATAAGACAGGAGTAATATCAAAAATTATCGAAAAGATGACTTATATTTGAATAGTACAGCAACAAACTTGCATTCATCACAACAAAACCTCTTTGTTATATTTCATCTGAAAAATTCGGAGAAATTTCCCACCAGAAATTTCACGCCACATTTCTGTATGCTACAATTGAATTATTTTGAACTCATATATAACTTTTCCTTAAGGAATTTGGTCCCGAACTTGGTGATAAAGATGAACCAACAAATGGTTTCTTCAACACCAATAAATTATCAGAAAGCAGGAGAACTAACTTAAAAACTAGAGGAAATAGAAATGTTCTGACATATCTCTTCGTTTCATCTATTTATGATGAGTATTTATAACTGAAGGAGTTAAACTAATGAATTTCAGAACTGAAAAAAGATTTCATCCGAACATGTACTTATTGTTACGAAAACATCAGGATTTCTCAACTGAATTTGAAACGGATAATGGATTTGTATGATATCATTGACCTACCACATATTTAGCAGATGGAGATATATCAATTTTCATTCTATTTTCTGCAAATTGATCCCGATAATTTACTTTTCAGTTTTTCTCTAGGTAAATGCCCCTAGCTTGCAACCTGGTATATCTATAATCGAAAAATAATCCTATTACTGACAGAAACAATTTTCATTACAAGTCTAGTGACTAACATTCACATATCACATTCAGGTAATACAAGTTACATCGAACACCAATGGTAGATCCACTGAGGATATTGAATAGATATGCTGGATATCTCTGGAAGCAGTCGACAAATCTCATGAGTGATATCTGCAAAAAAATTGATTGAAAACAAATGTTCACCTTCGAGATATCTTAAAAAATATTTTTCATTGTTCTGAAGTGAAGAGGAACCCTTCGTTGATTCAGTCTTCAATATAAGTGTACCCACTCATTGGAATGATAAACTTTATTTGTGAAAATATAAAACAACAATAAAAATTAAATGGCGCTCCGGGGCGACTTCATTGATTCCAATGGCGCATTTGCTTTTTCAGCTGCAGGAAAACCCGGAAAAACCTGCAGCACCCCATCATCTGAAGATCTTGAATCTGCCAATGTCCTCTCTCTGATAAAACAAAATGTAGGATGTCTACAGAGGCTCCAATAAATTCAATACATCGCCAGAACACTTCGTGGCACGACTATCGTCACACTTAAACCAGTCCGTTTCGTCTTTGACCACGGCGTAATAATGATCAAATTCAACGCCAGAAACACATAATAGTGGTCAGCTAGATTGAAGTGCTTATCTATTTCGAATCTTCGAAAGAGTTTGGTGCTTTCATAAGAGGTTGAGTCTTGTTTGAAAATCATCAGTGTTATTATTAGATTGACTGGTGTCTCAGCTATACTTGTTTCCTTATGATAGTCTGTTAGTTTGGTGCATGTTTGGCAATACAGTTGATCATCTGAAAGTTCCACTTTAAGATGATTTCAACGATAAGCTTTGCACGGACTAGTTATCAGTCATATTAGGAAATGCTAGTTGAAGTGTCAGAAATTCACATACGTATTTGCTACCCCTTGAACATTTACTACAAAGTAAACAAGTGAAGATTTTTCCAGCAAAAGATTTACGAACACAACTATATAGTTGAGGAATAGGAAAACAATTTAAGTTTTTTGAATTTGAGAATTTTGGGATAATCTTAGAGAAAATATATTAAAATATTACGTTTATCAAACACATTACTGCGGCACATTTCTGAACATCATATAAATATAGTCGACGCAGGCGTCGTCACAAAACTCTTGAGCGTGTCACTACCTGAGTTGTGGGCTGATTGAAACGTCAGTATAGTAAAATTGGCTTTAAAGTAGAAGCCTGGACGTTGAACAACTGAAAACAACAAACGCAGTTGGATCTCCACGTTGCTGGTAATCTTTGCGTGTCATCGCTTTTGTTCATACTACTAGCCTCTCTGTTTGTTAGAGAGTATAAATTTCCATTGCTTACTAGTATTTTTCTGTTCTCGAATTTGATGCCAATACGTGTTGGAGGAGAGCACCCTTCACTGCCAGTTTATGATCATGTTTGCGTGTGTGTATTCACCTATTGGTCTGGCCGATGTAAGTCTTGTCACAGTACTAACATGTTACTTTTTAAACTCCTTGGGACTCCAGTGGAATCTGACCCTTTGCATCTCGGAGAATGAACCTTATTGTACGTTCTGGTATGAATGATGTTGCTATTTTGTGTTGGCGGAGATTTCTGCTGATTTTGTTCGTGGTTCCTTTAATATATGGTAGTATTGTTGTTATGACCGGTGTTTCTAGGGTTTTCTGCTGCTTGTGTGTGTTCTTGGGAGCCACTTTTATAATTTTCTCTGAGTAGCCATTCATTCGGATAGTTGTCTTGATGGTGTTCAGTTCTTGTTGTCTACCGGCCTCTTCGAACGTGTTCTTGGTGTTTTTTCCACCGAGTCAATTTGTTTTGGGTGGTGATGTGACTTTGCGTTAAGGTATAGATATATATGTTCTGGTGTCATCCTTCACATGCTGAAGTGCCATGCCATACATCTGTTCGTCTTTGACCTTATAACGACGTTTCGGCAAGATCCTACTTATCATATTCATGTGCTCTGGTTCGATGAGTTGACACAACTCCTCCTGAGTTCACTTCACTACTCTTAGCATCTTTGTGGCACCAACTCTGTTTTTCCGACAGTTTGTGCTGATACTTGTCGTGGAGAAAATTTCTCACCAAAGTTATTCCGTCTACGGGCGGTGCATTCTCTCCGTCATCTTGCAGATTTGTCCATTTGTCTATCCCTAATTCCATACCTACACGAGAATTATTTCATCAAAAAAGAGATATAAAGTTCAAGGTTATCTATATCAAATGAATGGGTGACCTTATGGTTTCGATTTCTGTGGGTGCCACAGTTGTATCCTTAAGTTTTATCATCATTCTTATCACTATCGTGATCGGGAAGTCAATGTGGTGTTACGGACGGGGCCGCCGGATTCCAGGTCAGTGGCAGAAATAAGTAAGGTGAGGGTAACTAAAACCCCCCAAAAGCCTTGCGCCAGCCTACCCGAGCTAAGGTGTAAAGAATCGTGCCGACAGCTGAATGACCGCAGGGTGATATGCGGTCACGAACGACCCCTTGGGGAACTGGGGAAACCTCATTGTAATCAGCCTACCTCTGGTAATGCGGAGCTCTGCCAGAGGTGACCAACTCTTCCCTTACTACTCGTGGGAACACACATGAGTGAAACAACACAAAAACAGAAACAACAAAAACAAAAACCAATCCCAAGTCTGGACAGAAGTGCTCACCTCAATCTAAGGCGGTGGCTGGGGATCAACAGAAATGTCCACCCCAATCTACCGCTTGGAATTAGGCTGGACATAGCAGAGCACCTTCAACAGCAAGGGCAGTTCCTGCAGCGGGCGTTAAGATCTCCGCCTTGAATAAAGGCAAGGAACCGGCTGTCCCTACAGGAAAGCTTCCTCACGTCTGCACCTCCACGAAGGGAACCCCAAGAAGGTTGAAGAAGCCGCGCAACGACAGTAATATCGCTGCACCTTCCAAAACCTTTACGGAGGCCACCGTGAGACACCTCAAGGTTACCAAAGCTAGTGTGTGTTCCGCGAGTCTTGGCCTACACCTGCCAATATAAAAGAGATGTCTCCTAGTGATCTGTTCACCTTCCTGGAAAGGACAGGATGGACGATGACCTAGGAGGCGACTCCTCTGGAGGGTTACAATGGGTTACATGTGGCCTAAGTGCTGTGAGCCTACACTCACCCTCCCTACTCTACAGATACCAGATACAGATTTGTGTGTGTTGTAACATCCGTTGTCGTATGTTGAAACGGGTTACTTTGTTACTTAGGAACTGAATTATGGGCTGCCGGAACTCAGTGGAGAGAGATGGTGGGTGAATAAAAGTCCACTTGGAGGATAAGTGTATTGTTTCTTTAAACACGCCAAGCTTATGGTGATTTCAGGCTTATGGCCCAGAAGTATACTTTTGGGTTCACAGATATAAATGTAAGCAACTTATGATCAAACTTAAGGTGTCGTAAATACTTGGTTTATTCTAGAATTCGCAATTTGTGCCGCAATGTTGATTCAAGGTCGTGCGGGAGGGTGTAATACATAACAGGAAAGACCTTACATGCATGGGATATGGAAGAATAGTCTCCAGCAGCACGATCCAACCCCTGTACGCAGTTCACTCAGGCAATGATCTTTACCATGCAAATAACTTGCTCCTCGGAAGACCGTAATCAGAGATATAAGGGGTGTAGTGGTCTAGCCTTGCGAGAGATACACCAGGATATAGTTCACAATATCGACTTGAGGTGGTAATAAGAAGGCCTAAAATAAGGTTAAGGTTTAGAAGGATATACCCTTCAGGGTATTTTCGGGAAGTGGGTTCTTACCGTAGTTGTTGTGTGGCCTCAAGATTGGAGAAGAGAACGGTTACTTAATAAAAATCCCCAATACTGTGGGCAAGTTATTCCTTTAGATAACCCAAATATAGTTATTTCCGTATTGAATATTTTGGTTTCTTCAAATCCACAAAGTGATGAGCTCAAAATTCTTGCTCCAGAGAAGATAACCAAACTCAACTCACATTCCCAGAGAATTATTTTCCTTTCCTTTTTTCCCTATCAACGTTATTCAAGGTCGAATTATTCTGATTGTCTTTAGACACAAAAAACTGAACTGCATTTTGGGAACCGTAACAGTGTATATGTTGTGAATAAATGAGACGATGTAAATATTTCAATTACAAACTCACCTCAACTCACTTAGTCGAAGTCGATGGGAGAAAATCGACTTTCTCGACTGTGATACAAAGTCGCTTCCAGAAAACTCGGACGGCTCGGTACAGTTCCAACATGCAGACTAACTTCGTCGTCAGAAACATTATAATGGCTAAACAGATCTTCTTGGGGTTCAATTCCGACAGCCGGAGGATTGAAAGCTCTCTGGCGACCGTTCTTAATTCTATGCTCCAGCCCCTCCCTGCTATGGATGAACGACAACAGCTGGAAATCTTGACCGACGTGGTTCTCCAACCTCTCCACGATGTCCCAGAACGTCGGCCTGTCGTTGGGTCTCCACATCCAACAACTGCGCATGATTTCGTAGAGGAGGTCGGAACATTCTGCTGGACGTTCCAGGCGTCCCCTCGAAGTTGTGAATTGTAGAACTTGTTCGTTGGAAAGACCTTGAAAAAGAAAGATTTTTTGTCAGAGTTAGTATATAGGAGGGGTTGAGAATGTCAAAAAGTTTGGGCACCGTCCTGTAGCGTCACTGGATACATACGTTGAGATACCGAGAATTTTATGAAATGAAAAGCCTAGCAAAATGGTTGAACCAGGTACAATATCTAGTTAACTGATAGATGAATCAAAACCGAGGAACCAATATTGTTGATGAGACTCGACACAAATGCACAAAAATTTACTTTTGCCGTCCGAAAAAACCAAGTGTACGTATCTCCCTCACACGGTATCAGAGTGAACTCAAGTGACGTTGAGATGGAGACATTGTTCTCGTGCCCTCCGATTTTGTTTGATAAACTCTTTCGTTCCTTCAATTTTTCAATATGGCCGCTGTGACAACCAACCCGTGAGACAACCATACCCGGTCTCCCCTACCTGAGACAATGTGGATATGCTTATTTGAAAACCGGTGAGTACGCTAGATCAATTTGATCATTTGACAGATCACATTCGCAACGCTTATGCTTATGAATTTCCAATGATTCCAAATTATTTTTTACCGCAAACGGGTCGAAATATTCAAAATAGCGGAAAACAATGTGACTACCAGCGGCGGCTCGTCAGAGGAGGCAAGGGAGGCTTAGCCTCCCCATAAAATTTGAGGCTATTCATCGCAATAAATTGAAAGATATTGACGAATAATTTTGATTATTATTTTCTGAAAATGCTTGGGTATCATTACTTTACCATTAATTTTTAATATAAATACATAATATGCACGAGAAAACACTATCGCTCACTACGTAGTACGTATCACACTGTGTCCTGCATCAATAAACCCCAAACGCACCGCCTATGAACGAATAACGAATAAACCATCAATCCGAAATAATAAATGCCATACGTTGCAAGGGAGCCAAGCCTCCGACCGCTTTGAAAAACACAAGCTTCGCGAGGCCGATCCAACCAACGACATACGTCCCGATTTGTACTTTTAGTTGCAGAAATTATAGCGTTAGAGGAGGCTAGCCTCCAGTTGGTCTCCGTTAGTGTACGGCTACGTTTGTTTTTTATTTAATTATTCGGACGGGATGCCGTGACGGACCGGGACAGAAAAATATTTCGGTAAATGCTTTTTGGTGATATTTTTAAAGTGATTTTAAGGTGTTTCCTTTCAATTTCAAGGTGTTTTCAGGTTTTCACTTTTCGGCAAGTTTTTTTTTCATTCATTATGGATAAGTTGGATGAAATTAAAGAATCTGATGATTAGTCGATTGGTTGCTGACAAATAATTTAAAGTCTTCATCTTATGATAATGAATTTTACATTATTGAAACCCTGGGAAGGCCTTAACCAAATTTAATTTCAATTAAAGCGTCAGATAATCGACAAAATCGAGGATTTAATATTAGTTGGTACGATAAATGCGATTGGTTAACCGGCTCCATTAAACGAGAAAAACTTTTTGGTTGGTCCTGTGTTTTATTTTCCATACAAACCGAATACCAAACGTGGTCTAAAATGGGATACTCCGATTTAAAAAATTTACCTCGTTCTACAGAAAGACATTTTAAATCTAAGGAGCATATATTTTCGTCTTGTAAATTGAAATTGTTTAGCAAACAAAATATAACAAAAGCTTTAGATACAGCTCCAAAAGAGGCTATAATTTCTTTTGATAATCAGGTTAGGAAAAATCGGTCGAATTTAAAAAGACTTATCGATATTACGATTTATTTGGTTTCCCAAGAATTAGCTTTTCGCGGACACGATGAAACCGAAGATTTGATTAATCGCGGCAATTACGAAGAACTTTTAATGTTATGGGGCAAATATGATTCACAATTTGACACTTTTTTAAACGGTAGCGTTTTTTTGGGTACCTCAAAAACCATTCAAAATGAGCTTATTATAGACAGTGTGGCATATATTATTAAGGAAATTCAAGTAACGAGATTGAAAGTGTTTCTTTTTTGCATGGAAAATTGATGAAACTACCGATATGACATCACAACTTTCAATCGTTTTTAGATATCTCAAAGATAAGCATAATTAAGTACTTGTGCCTATAAAATATTTGTAGCATTTTTTAACAAAACTGTTATATTAGAAGAGAGAAGTTTTATTATTTATTGACTGAGAAGAGTTCATTTATATTAAAAAACTCAAAGACAACCCTTTTTCCTTGTTTTTGTTTTTTTAATGGTCAGTTTTATATGTATAATTTTTGGAAATACACAATTTTTGTTTGCATTTATGCAAATATTATGTATTTTGCTTCAAATAGGTGCGGTAGCCCAAATAATTTTCGCGCCTCCGGCAGGCTATGTGTGTATATAGTCTTTATGACTTTAGCCTTTAGTTCTCCAATGCACGAGCCGTCACTGGTGACTACCATATCAATTTCAAAGCGTTATAATTCGAATACAATAGAATCTCATTAATCCGGCACTATTAAAAACAAGAGGGTTCCGGATTATTGGAATGTTCGGATTTCTGGATTATAGAGGAAAAATCATAATAAATTAAATAGTGTCTTGTGTTTCCGTTCACTTGACATTGTTAACAACATACTATTCTCACTCATAAACAACAGGTAGATAAGTAGGCACGTGCACGTGATTAGTTTTGAGGTTGGACTGTTGGACGACGACGCGGCGACGGAGCGCATAGGCGCTGAGATTCTACTGCAAATATTGATGCACTGAATGAAAAAATAGACTAAGAACCATGTCCCATAATACAATGTTTCTTATATAAAATCTTGTCGCAAGATTTACCTGTGCATATAGATAACAATACACTACATACGTAACATGATCTTGACAATGGGTTCGAGACAAAAATTGTAGGTCTTTCAAATCTCGTGACAAGCTTTAATATCATATAACTTGTGTAATGTTTTATTCGATTTGAAGTGAAATTTTCTTCTTTCAACAACATTTCAACAAAAGCTAAAGGTTGTTTTTTAAAATATTCCTTTACTCTCATTTTTTCAGAGCAAGACATAGAGGATATGAGAAACCGAATAACATCTATGTTGAATCGTGAAACATTCTCCAGATATACAAGGTGATTCAAACGTACTTTGACAAACTTCAGGAGGTGATTCCTCACAATATTTTAATATGAATTGTCCAAATAAAGAAATGTCCGATAACGCTTCGTTTCCAAGATACAGGATGTTGAAGTTTTATTTTTATTTTCGTTTTTTTCAAATAACTTTTGAAATATTGAACTTAATTGAACGAAACTTGGTAATAGGAGGTTTTTGTGGTGTCGAATTCGAACCTGATGTTTTTATTGCTCTTACTCGTAGGGGGCGCCACCTACACGTCTTTTTCTTTTTTAAAGATTCATTACTTTTTTGGGCATACTTCTAGCACATTTTTCAGTAAAAAAATCGATTCCTCTATCATATCTACTTAAATACTTGACTTGAAAACTTCAAGTCGATTATTTGATAATCGATGCATGTTGAAGTTATTACGAATATTTTGCTTTTTTCACAAGAATGATTTGGAAATGAATTTGACGTTTTACTCGTTTTAAGAGGTCATTACTGTTGGGTACGTTCCTTTATGACATCCTTAAGCGAAATAGTTATTTTTGTATCAAAGGGTGCATAATCAGTATTTGTTTTAATAAAATTTGCAAGAAATGTCAACATTTTATTTCAGGAAATTTTGAATATGTAGAATAAACTAAAATAAACGAAACTAAATTGTATTCAAATAAATTGTTGGAAGTATCCATCTTCAGCGAAGATACAGGCAGTCTATCGTCTTGTCATTGAATCTCGTACCCGCTCAAAAATTATTGGTGTGTTTCTTATTGTTTCACAGGCGTCTACTATTCGGTTTCTTAGATCTTCCTCGTTCACTACTGGAGTCTTATAAACTAGTGACTTCAAATGTCCCCAAAAATAAAAATCTATCGGGTTTAGATCTGGGGACCTTGGTGCCCACGCTTGGTTAGGTTCTTCTACCCCTACCGATCCATCGTTTTGGATAGACTGTGTTAAGGAATTCCCTGGCTACAACGCTAAAATGGGCCGGAGCCCCATCATGCATAAACCACATGCGGATACGAATTTCTAATGGTACATTCTGAAGTAGTCCCGGCAATTCATTTTCTAAAAAGTGTCTGTAAGTTGCGCCATTCAGTCGGAGCGGAAGAAAGAAAGGACCTATCGAGTAATTATCAATTATTGCCGCCCATACATTTACAGAAAATTGATACTATAATGCCTTTCACTAACTGCGTGCGGATTTTCGAGAGCCCAAACATGGTAGTTATGAAAGTTTGTGATAGCATTTCGGGAATAGTTTGCCTCGTCCATGAAGAGTACATATCTTAAATATTGAGGATTTCCAGCCAATTTTCTCAAAAACCATTGACACATAGTAATGCGTTGGGGAAAGTCTCGTGGCAAAACAGCTTGTACCCTTTGAATATGGTATGGATAAAACTGTTGATCGTGGATAATTCTCCAAACTGTGGACTGAGTAGAATTGACAGTTTCAGCAATTACTCTTGTGCTTGTTTCTGGATTCTCCTCGAGAGCGTTGAAAACAGCTTCTTTCAATTCTGGGGTTCGGACTGCTCGTGGTCTTCCAATAATATCAGCTGCTCTCTTAAAGCTACCTGTTTCTGCCAAACGACGGTGGAGACTAGCAAATGTTGGAGCTGAAGGCAGTAGTCGATTAGGAAATCGCTCCTGGTAAATACGTCTTGCTTCGCGCGCATTGCCATCTGCAAGGCCATAAACAAAATGCATATCGGCTAATTGAGCATTATTGTTTAAATAATCCATTTTTTTTTAATAAGTGTTTTCTACTTCTACTTACGGAAACTTCAACAAAACGTCTGTCACAAAATATGTAATTACCAAAACTACTCACAAACGTCAAATTTATTTCCAAAGCATTCTTGTGAAAAAAGCAAAATACTCGTAATAACTTCAACATGCATCGATTATCAAATAATCGACTTGAAATTTTCAAGTCCAAATATTTAGAAAACGGTTGCTTACAGCGACTAGTAACAAGGGTAGCTTATTTACGTAGATATGATGGAGGAATCGATTTTTTTACTGAAAAATGTGCTAGAAGTACGCCCAAAACAGTTATGAATCTTTAAAAAAGAAAAAGACGTGTAGGTGGCGCCCCCTACGAGTAAGAGCAATAAGAACATCAGGTTCGAATTCGACTTTCTCAAAAACCTCCTATTACCATGTTTCGTTTAATTAAGTTCAGTATTTCAAAAGTTATTTGAAAAAAACGAAAATAAAAATAAAACTTCAACATCCTGTATCTTGGAAAAGAAGCGTTTCCGGACATTTATTTATTTGGACAATTTATATTAGAAAATTGTGAGTAATCACCTCCTGAAGTTTGTCAAAGTACTTTTGAGTCACTCTGTATTTATAAGAATGCGTGATTGAATGACAAGATGAGAGGTTAAAGTTGATTTCGATCCACGTCTATGGGCGAGGTTTTTCGAAACTCCACTAAAATTATATTTACTATCGACACGACATACAAAGTATTTTCAAATTCATCCAAATTTCAATAGTATACACTCACCTTGATACGGTTGTTCTGCTAACGTGGCAATCTCCCACAATACAATCCCGTAGCTCCACACATCGGAATCGGAAGTGAAGACTCCATCGGCCAGACTTTCTGGAGCCATCCATCTCACAGGCAGCAAACCTTTGGTTCCCTTCCTATAGTAATCAGTCTCATAAATATCTCTGGCCATGCCAAAATCCCCAATTTTAACCGTCCGATCCCCGGAGACCATGCAATTTCTAGCAGCTAGGTCCCGATGGACGAACTTCTTGGCAGCTAAGTACGCCATACCATCAGCAATTTCCACCGACATACGATAAATCTCGTTGGAAGTGAGATTATGTGATGAATCCCTCGTTCTTCTAAGAAATTTCTTCAAGTCGCCCCTATCCATCAACTCCATCACAACGAGAGGTGGCTGACCTTTTGAAACTACTCCGATGAGCTTCACCACATGGTGGCAGTTGCTGAATGACTTCATAACCGAAGCTTCGTTGAGGAACTCCATGTGTTCGTGCAGAGTGAGCGATTTGTTGATTGTTTTAACGGCACAGGGGGCGTTGCGGGACTTGATAACGCCATAATAGACGGTCCCGAAAGTGCCTTGCCCCAGGTTGGTTTGGATGTCAATGTCGTCCCTCTCCAACTCCCACTCGTCTTCGACATAGATCGCTCCATCGTAATCGGGATTGATGCTTGTTATGAGATGCATGCGTTCAAGTTTCCGTTTCCTTCTGTACCACAGGTAGATGGCAACAGAACCTGATAATATGAAGAGAGAAACTAAGATGGTTGTGACCATGATCGAGACATCTGGGGAAGGAGCTTCAATGGTAAAATACTTTGTCTCACTGTAACGACCAATTCCAGCCAGCGACTCCGCCTGTACCGTTAGAGAATACTTCCCAGGTGTCAAGTTCTTCAAAATAAGTTCGGTACCGTTGAAACTGCCGTCCTTTGATAAGCACTCTTTGTAGAGATGGGAATGCCCTGCATCAACTTTGTTGTATTTTATTCTGTAGGCAACTATGCGGGAATTTGGGTTGCTTGGCTCTTTCCAAGTCAACTTGACATCGGTATTGTCGATAACCTCAACGTTCACTTCCTCGACATCATCGGCATCAATTTTTTTCATGGTTCTCATGGAGTACATCAACACCGAACTACACTTGTGCTTTTCTTTCGGGTGATTACAGGCCGAAAAATAAAAAATATACAGCGTGAAGTGTTTGAGATTCGTGATGTTGTAAGCAGTATCATTTGCACCAATGATTAATTGTTTATTGAAAGATGAATACGTGTTATTGTTGTCATCCCTTTTCTGTAATTTAGGCATATCTCCGCTCACTGGTTGGTAAAGGAAGTGTTTGCAATCGTCTCTTTGGAATTTTGATTGCGCAAAGAGGTCGCAAAGTTCGAATCTTTGATCGATGGTTTGGATGCTGATGTCGTCAAATTTCAAAGGTTCCACACACTCACAGTCATCCTCAACTGGCTCTTTTTTCGTTGTTTTGTTTTCCGGTTTGTGCATAATGTCTTGAGAGTTGCTATCAGTATCAGTCTTCTCTCCTTCGATTCTGAAAGTGAAATTGATGATATATAGAGTGTATGTATAGAATGTTCTAACACAGATCACAATAAAAATATGTTCGTATTCATTGATTTCAACTACATCCCACTAAACTGATTATGGAACTTCAACTAGTATAAAGTGCAAAGTTTTACTACAGAGTGTTTCTAAATAATATAATAATAAAGTATGAAACGTATTTCAATTCTCTTCGCTATGACAATAACTTTATTGAATTTCAATAACCGATTGCAGAGTTATTGATTTTTGAATTTTGAACAGGAATTTCGTAACTCCGCCACCCGTAGATTTTTAAATGAATGTTCATTTGAAGGAGTAATAGGTAACATACTTTGCAATAGATAAATGCTAATTTCAAGGGCATAAAACGACGGTTTTTTATCATAACCTTGTTATTATTCATTTTATGCATGAAAATGCATATGAGCAAATGCAATGAATGTTCTCCTTGAACCCCTGACAGTGAAACAATCTATTTCCGAATTCATTTTCAATGTTTCTGGGGTAGTATAAGTTACATTAATTCTTACACTCAGTTTCAATTCTCTTTTCTTCATTATGATTTCCTATTACGTAGTAACGGCTACATCCATCAAATTACTTAGTTTCCATATTGTCCGAGGTTGCATAATATAAACTCTTGATTTAATATAGTTCCACAAAGAGAAATCAGGCCTTTCCATCGGATGAGTGAATTCGATTTTGAATAATTTTAAAACGTAAATCACCATTCAGATTTTCCAGATATATGGGATCAACAATATGATTTCCAGATAATCCTGACCAGACATTTACTTTCTCAGAAGTTCGATGGTGACCTCGAAAAATATGTGAGTTTATATCTGACCAATATCGCACGTTTTCGCGGTAAATATTCACGTTCAAGAAAAAAGTGTAGTCCTCACTGAATCAAATACTTTTCATGCAGTTTCCATTTGCGATTAAACGTTCGGACGATCACTCACGAAACTGTATTCTTCTGTCAGGGTCATCTTCATTTATTCACGTAAACTTATGTCTTCTGAGACATTTCTTGATGGTTATTTACTACAGACTCCGACGATTTTTCTCTGTTTCTCATCTAACACATATCCTTTCAGTTCATCTAGCTCTGGATACACTTCCAGTTGTTGGAAATGTTCCAACTAATTCCTTGAATTATTTTCTACAGATCGAAATATCAGAAAATCTTGCCTTGCTCAGGGCCGCTTTGGCGTATACAAGGAACAAGGACTGGTTCTGTGTTTTACTCTGAAGGTCTGGCGTGAATCATTTTTGAAAATTCAAACGGAATGAAATAAAACGAATTTTCAACATCATCGCCTCACTTCAGAACACCCACACTTATCCACATTTCGTCATTAACCAGTCGACCAATCAGAAGCTACCGCGTGCACAGCGGGAAATTCAAATTGTTCTCACTTTAACGAGACAGACCACCTATCCAAGCTCACCATCAGGTGGTCTCAGTGACTATCGGCGGCTGGAAATTTCATGGAAATCAAAATAAATAAATTATCGGCTGAAGAATTGAACACAGGTCGTCAGCGTGGTACCTAGGCTTGATCGTTAGCCACCACCAACATGGAATCTGTTTCAAAATCTGTTTTTCCGTTAAACAGCTGTCACACCCCTACGAACGACAACCCTTAGAAGTCGAAACTTGTACGAGCTAAGAATTAACGAGGTCTTACCTTTTAACGTGTGATTTCTGACACGAAATATTGAAAGTAATTCCGAACTGTTGATAGCGATGGAGCCGGTCTCGATTTGGTTATTGAATCGCTCTTCGAATTGGTTGTGGTTCCGATTCGAAGGTACGTCAATAAATTTGAACGAGTTGCAATTATGATTTAAAAAAATTGTAAAATACGGTGTTCAGTTATGTATAAGAATAATAAAACATATTTTCTGTAGTTACCTGTGTCAGAAGTGTTTCAGAGAGACGTTAGTGAGTGGGAAAGAGACGTGTGCGACGTAATCGATGCATAGGATGCATTCTGTGACATTACCCCCAAGATCGTAACAATTATGGAACTCGACAAAACAATTATGGATATCGCACGAGCACGGCAAAAACAAATGCACTATACCTTCACAATCACTAGCCTTCGCAACCACTACTTCGCAATAAAACTAGAACCCTTCTCCGACCGTATCGCTTCAATTACTCGACTCAACAGACTCACGTCGCGCCGACGCACTCCTTTTATATCGATAAGGAAGGTTCTAGTCTGGACTCGAAGCGCGTGGAAGATTATATTGTTCTCAACAAAAACAATCGGCCATTTTCGCTTGTTGCTAAGAGATGGCGTTACTGTCTACAACACTCTCTCGCTTGTCTAGGTACGCGCTGTGACACATTGCGATCGCGAGCCGTAGTGATACGACGCGGGGGCTGAATGCGGCTCGCGAGCTACTGATCTACATAAGGTTTGTCCTGGTTCTAACATCCGAAACTGTTTGAAAACAGCGCAAGACATGATGCGTACAAGCAAAACATCTCAAACACTCCAAAATAGTCTCGGACACTTGTTTAAATCAGAACGCTTTTGAGGAGACCACTGTGCCACCTATCTTGCATATGAAGAGATGAAGACGAGAAAATACTATTGATCATGTCCATTTTATTATGTAGCGTATCCTTATAGTCAGTTCAAATGTTATCTAACCTCAATCATCATCTATTCAAATCAAATAAATAAAAAAAAAACATCCTAGCAGATAGCCCAAACAAATTAAGACATGAATGCGCATGAGCAACGGGAACAGTTTTCAACAGTTCAGCCTCGAGAGCAAGAATAATTCAGGATCATTTCACAGTCGAAACTAGAACAGAGGATTCATCAGTCCGAAATTATATCCTCTATATCCACTGCGCATGATGCTGACGTCCTAGAACCTGAATTTCGTAGAAGCAGAACAAACCCTCTAGTCCAGTGGTCGCCAACCTGTCGATCGCGAGCTACCGGTAGCTCGTGGAGGCAATTCTGGTAGCTCTCACAACGATTTCAATTTAAAAAATACAAACTGCAAAAATCAGAGAAGCTTCCGAAAATTCCACAAAAAAATCTAATTGTCATAATATTTAACATAAACAGCGGCAACGTTGCGGTGAGCGATCTGCCGCTGACGCCATCAAGCTAGAATCGGCTAGAACCGACCAGCCGGACCAGCGCGTTAGTGTTCGAGAACGATCTGGAGTACTTTGAACAGGATAAATACGTACGGTGCGGCGACATTGCGCTTAGTTTAAAACTGAACGCGTTACCAACGTCTAGCGGTTGGGTTAGTAGAGAACAACAAAAATAATATCATGGCAAGCAGTTGTAAGAAGGTGAAGACATACCACTTTCATTCGGAATGGGAAGAACAATACTTTTTTACAGAAGTTAAAACATAAAAATGTGTGTTTGTTATGTAATACTTCGGTCTCCGTTGCTAAAAAAGGAAATATTGAGAGACATCATAAAACTGTACATTCTAATTTTGAAAAATCATTCCCACTACATTCTGCCGCCAGAAAGGAGAAACTGAAACAGTTAAAACAGCAGTAAATTGGACAACAAACAATATTTTAAGAACAGTCGACAAAAATAAGGCTGCAACTGAAGCATCGTACCGTGTGTCCCAGATAATTGCACAAAAAAAGAAACCTTATGGAGACGGGGAAATGATAAAACAGGCGTTTTTAGAAGCTGCTGATTCGTTATTTGTCAACTTTAGAAATAAAGACAAGATAGTTTCAGCTATAAAATCTATGCAACTTTCTGCTAAGACAGTGATGAGACGTGTAGAAGTAATGGGCAATGATATTTTTTTACAGTTAAGAACTGACTTAGATAACTGTGTTTATTTTTCACTTCAACTGGATGAATCAACAGATGTCGTTGACACTGCCCAGATGGCCGTGTTCGTTACAACAAATATCATGTAGAAATAATTTCTACCCTGAAGAATAATTTCAAAAATCGTTTTAAGGATTTCAATGAAAAGGCTTTAGTAGCGCAGTTTGTTGTTTTACCCTTTATGGATAACCAACAGTTTGCAACTTGTGTTATGCAGAACTTTGGCGAAGACATCGCTGCAACAGAAATGGAAATCATTGACTTTCAAAATGATTTAGCCTTAAAATCGTTAGTCTCAAGTACTGAATGTATCTAGACTGTTGTAAGTAAAGACAAATATTCAGTTCTATGCCATGTTGCCTCGAAAGTGAAAGCATTATTCAGTTCAACCTATTTGTGTGAATCTTCTTTTTCCAATATGAAGTTTATTAAGAACAAATATCGCAATCGACTTACAGATGAAAATTTGGATAATTGTATTCGAATGGCTGCATCAAATTATACTGCAAACATTAAAAAAATTATCGATGAGTCTGAGTGTCAGCCATCTCATTGAACGTGCCTTTTTATTTTTCAATGTTTATGTTCATGATAGTGCGTTACTTTTTTGTTGTTATTATTAACTATTTTTAAAGCATACGTGACATGCCGTTGTGGCTGGATAAAAGTTTGTGTTTATTTTTTAAACACCTTCGTTTGATAGGTAGGAATGTAGCTATGAACAAGTACGTACTAGTAATATTAGTTATTTTGTTATTAGTTTATTATTAGTACCTATGTATTATGTATTACCAGTTAAATAGTAAAATGAATACATATAATGATAAATTAACTGTGGATTATTTCATTTACGTTGCGTTACGTGGCTTCCGTGTGGGTAGCTCGCTGTTTATTCCAAATTTAACAAAGTAGCTCAACACATTGAAGAGGTTGGCGACCACTGCTCTAGACGATTACAGATACTTTGGTTCAATATTATTTTAAAGAGATCCATTTCCGTGAACAATTTCTTCCTCTAACACATAAGAAAACTTTGTGTAACCTGTAATAACTAACTGGAAGTGTTTCACTCCGCTTCCGGTTGTAAAGTTAGTAATTGTCATTTTTCCTAGTCTTCAATTCATACACCGTAATTTCGCAGCCGGGTATCCAAATTTGTAACACTAGATGTCGTTTCATACAGAATTGAAATACCTTTTGAGCGAAGAGTCACAAGACCTCTTTTTCTATCTGAATAAAAAAATTGATAGCGGCTTCTTTGCGAAGGGTGGAGAAGTCACACCATTAGCTGTTTTATCAAGAAATACTAAAAATGTTTCCTTTTCATACAAATTTCGAACGACTTCGATATCTTGCCCCGTTCTAAAGTTAAGAAGGGAGAACAATGTATAGATAGGTACTCACGTTCTTGGTTGCTCACAATAATTTCTATCCACAGCTTCATCTGGTTGTTCATTGAAGTCAATCTTATAATAAGCCAGGACTCCATTGATATGTAACGGAGGTCTCCACCGCAACTGAATAGTTGTGTGGTCTATGGCTTCAAGAACAACATTTTCCGGGATATCTGGGTCATCCGGAAGGGTGACAAAGTACATCATGGTACTCTGAAAGGTATCTTTGCTGACGCAGTAGATCTTGATGTAGAAAGCGTACCTAGAGTCAGCTTCAAGGTTGCTCAAGACGAAGCTGGTGTTTGTTGTGAATATGCTCTTCCACTCGTTTCTCACGCAGACGTCTTTGCTGTCTGTGAATGAAGCTTCTCCGAGCTTGTGGACCTTGAAGTAGATCGTGAAGCCAACGTAGTTGTCACATTTGTTGAGAGCTTTTTCGTCCCACATCAAGGTGGCATTGGTCGACCAGGGATGCACTGTTACGTTCATTTTTTGAGGAAAGCAAGTCGTTTTGTCTCCGTTGGAATATGGTGATACTTCTAGTTTGGAATACTCAACGCCGGTTATGTTGGACAATTTTTCTATTTCTATTGTGCACAGTAGGGGGTTATTGTGAAATCGGATTTTACCTGGAATCAAATTTGGGTTATTCAATGATTTGGAATTGCATAATTTCATTGACAAAAAAGAAATGAATCAGCGAAGTATAATAAACTGTTGGAATAATATAACTTATATGTACAGAGGAGATGCATGTCGAGCTGACGAGTCCAACTAACCTCCCTGTAAATTTAGATCAGGAGCGAGAGCTTCTCAACTCTCCAACTCCTGATCCAGGTGTAGCTGACGGGTATCAAGGTGGGAATCTTGCACCTTGACAGTAGATGAACAAGGCGGGAACGAGCCCAAAATCCCATATATTTTCTTATGGAGCTAAACTTTTTGCAATTTTTGGTTCAAACAGGAGTGGGGGAAACGTGTGACGTCATCAACGCAGGATGGAACGAGTATCGTAGCGATTCAAGCGTGGAACTCCGCCCCACTCCTGTTTGAACCAAAAATTGCAAAAAAGTTAGCTCCATAAGAAAATACATGGGATTTTGGGCTCGTTCCCGCCTTGTTCATCTACTCTTGACTATTCGACTACCTCATTAACGAAGAAACAACAAAGCACATGTTTTGTGCCTGCTCCGCTGAGGACCAAATCAGGTTTTTAGAGTTCGTCAGAGCCGTACTCTCACCATATGACCGGAAATACTACTCACTATACAAACTAATCCGCTTCGTTGAGAAGCTGGATATATTTGGTCGAGTGTGAATAGGTGTGAGCCACAATAAACCCTTGCGGGTTGCGATGGAGGTTCAAATAGACCCACTCACTTTGGACCTAACCTATATGACTGAATGATTAAATGAACACCAAACTAGCATCATCAGAACATGACTAAGTTTGAGTCACCTCCTGATGATGATAACTTAACAAAATGGTCAGGGCTTTCACGGTCAAGGCTTTCAGTGCCACTATTTTCCGAATTCGAAGGCGGTGGATTTTTGGAATTTCTTCCATTTCGCTGACGTGAGTGGCTAGATTCTTCATTGGTTTATACATGGTTGATATCCGATGACTGGTCATCGGAAATTGACCCACCCTGGTGGGAATTCACCCATCACAAACGTTACACTGTTTTTATGTTAGGCTTCCTTAGGATTTTTCCGATTGGAACATCTTCAAGTCGCTTTAACATCGAATGGATACAGTGCAACCAAGATCAACAAGGCCATGAAACTTGAAGACTTCTACAAGTCAAAATAGGGAGGAAACCCAAACGGTTGCACTTGCGTTTCTACTGTACTTCCCTAGGGTAACAGATAGAATCGGAAAAATCCTAAGGAAACATAACATAAAAACAGTGTTCAAGCCCACCAGGAGAATACAACAAAGCCTGAGATCTGCAAAAGACAAAAGAGACAAAAGGCGGGGGTATATCGTATACCATGCACCTGCGGAAAAGTTTATATCGGTGCCACCAAAAGATTCATGGGTACCAAACTGAATGAACATCGGAGAAACTGTAGATTAGGTCAAATAGAAAAATCGGCAGTATCAAAACACGCGTTTAGTGAAGGAGATCATGCGATACTGTTTGAAGATATGAAACTACTTGCACCCGATCATGGATACCACAGTCAACTTGTATGGGAAGCCATAGAAATCCATAAACATACAGAAAACTACAACAGAAAAGAGGAGGCGATAACGCTTCACCGGATTAGGAATCCCATACTAAAAGATGTTAATCTGGCAGCAGTGCAACGCAATGTAACAGGTAATAACACTTCGGCCAAAGATGATAAGGTGGCAGCAGTGCAACGCAATGTATAGTCTACCCATTGCCAATTGGAACGGCAATAAAAATAAGAGTACAGTCATAAAAATGTCTTGCCTGTGGCCCCTAGTCGCCCAGATAATTAGTAAACGTGCTATCAAATGTAATTGAGAAATAAAGGATCGGCTAGCTGGACTGGCTGAATACTAATTTTTTGTCCGTTTCACAATATTTCTTTATCACTACCGTGTGTTCGTGGGGTTAGGTGAGGTAGTGAGTGGTTTTGCAAACCGATTTTTGAAAACTTTTTGTAGAGATCAATTACCCTAACATCAAACTGATATTTTTGCACTCGACGCGCGTTTCGTTAACAAGGTTAGCATCTTCAGGAGGAGCAAATTGATACTGAATCTAAAGACAAGCATTAGCTGTTTATATACCTGAAGTTTTTTGGACCGATGTGGACTTTGTTTGTTAAATGATGATTATGATAATTGATTTTTCGGTAATTAACTAATGGAACCACTACCTGCAAATTAATATGTCCGCTTTTTGATCTATTGTTGACAAATTAATTTGCAGGTAGTGGTTCCACTAGTTGAGTACCGAAAAATCAATTAGGATGATCATGATTCAACAAACAAAGTCCACATCGGACCAAAAAAACCTCATGTATATAAACAGCTAACCCTTGTCTTTAGATTCAGTATCAATTTGCTTCTCCTGAAGATGCTAACCTTGTTAGCAAAACGCGCGTCGAGTGATCTCTAGAAAAAGTTTTCAACTTTCACTCCAAAGGTTCCAATATCATCGTTTAAATCGATTTTTGTGAAAATCTTGGTGTTTTTGGGTACTTTCATCAATACGGCTTTCTGGAGACCTTTTGAAACAAATTATAACATTAAGTGTGAGGAATCTGTGTCGATCGACAGGGATCCGGAATTTGAAAATGAGGACTTACATGTTCAAGTTCAGCGAGTAATTTTGAATATTCATGAATGCTTGAAGAAGGAAAACTGTCACACTTCACAGAATGCTATTGTGAATTGAATATGCGTTTTAACGAAACTATCTCGTTCGACAGTTCTTCGAGTCATTAAAATAGGGGATGTCATTGACCATGCAATGAAACGAAAACAAAGGAATGAAAAATTCGCAAACGTTGATGATGCTACAAAAGATGTGACCTTGAAAATTATTTGGTACAAATTACTCGACTATCCCGATTACAATTACAAATCTTTAGAAACTCTACGAGGTGTCTTATCGTCTTGTGGTTTCAAATATAAAAAATTGAACAATCGGATGGTCATAATGGAATCGACACGCATTGTTCAACTACGACAAGAATATTTGAGGCAAATGAAAATCTACCGAGAATCCAGCAGACATATAATCTACCTCGACGAAACTTGGTTTGACACCCATGATATTGTCAAATATGGCTGGGAAGACGAAACCAAGTATTGTGCTTTGAACACACCTTCTTTTAAGAGAAAACGTATTATAATTTTGCATGCCGGGAATGAAAGTGGTTTCGTACCTAACGCTTTGCTTCTGTCGGTCAAAAATATAAAAGATTCGTCTGCTGATTACCACGAAGATATGACTGCGGGTTTATTCGAAACCTAGTTCAGTTCAGTTCAAATATTCCTCCAAACTCGTTTATTGTTTTGGATAACGCGTCGTATCATTCTCGGTTATTGACTAAAATACCAAACAATAACACAAAAAAAGCTAATATTGTTGATTTCATGCGAAATCATGACATGTAAATACTCGAAAAGATTCCAACGAAAAAGGTATTACTGGCGACCATGAAACAACGTAATTTCAAAAAAGAATATATTATTGATTCGATGTGTGAAACACGTGGTCATATTCTCTTACGTTTGCCTCCATACTATTGTGCGTTCAACCCAATTGAAATGGTTTGGGCCACAATGAAAGAAAGCTTGCGGAAATGTAATCAGTCACCGACTTTGAATGTTGCGGTGCTTGACAATATAAGGCGAGTGGTGAATGAAGTAGGTAATAGTGATGTGTGGAAGAACTGTGTGGCCCACGTTATAAAAGAAGAGAACAAATATTATGTGCAAAGTTCCATAAATCCGATCGTTATTCAACCCGATGATGATTCCACCTCATCCGAATATAGTGAAGAAGAATTTTGATTTTTCTAGCAATTTTATTGGCCTCTATTATATTATAAATATATGTTTGACGAGAATTCGGTGTGATTATTTGTGTTATCATTGTATTTTAGAGTTTTCGACTCGGAAATCAACTGCCTTAAATTTCGAAGTTTTTCATAATTACCCATGGTGGAAAAATTCAGTTGAGATAACTTTTTCATGGGGTGATCAATTGCTATGATTGTCAGAATAAGTAACTGAAAAACTACCACTGAAAAATAATATGCCGACGCCTATGTCGAGGCGGTAATTCCTTCTCTGTGCTGTTCCAATTGATACTGGAAATACTATAACAGGTAATAACACTTCGGCCAATAACAACGCACCAACTAGGAAAGCGGGCTACCTGTGTCTAGATAAATACAGCTTACGAACTAGCAATTACTAGTGTTACATACAGAAAGAAGATCCAAGCATTTATGAACACGAGCGTAAGGGCCGCCGTAAATGCACCGTACTATATTCCAAACAGATTCATATACAGAGATCTAGACCTGGACACGCAGTATGTGGACGTGTATATGAGAGAACATGCAGAAAGCACGTTCGATAGAATCAGATCGCACTTAAATCCAGCGTTTCGCGATCTACACGATGCGTTGAACATGGATGACCCCAGGTTCCGAGAAAGGGACAAACATCCAAGGCCGACCAAACAAAACCAGAGACCGCCCCCACGAGTCGCCGTTAGTTTTGGGGGCCTCCATGCAAAAATTCAGTTAGGAATACCGCGACAAATAAGACCCAATAAATTTAAAACGAGAAGTTAGATAGGGAAATAAAAGCACCTAAAGGCTGGTTTCCAACCAAAAGAGGTTAGATATCAATCTTGCTGAAGTGCCTAGCAGCTGGATTGAGGACCGTTTCCTTAAGAAACGGGGGTGGATGGAAAGGGTCGCCAGGTCCAAACCTGCGGAAGTGATTCCGTAAGGAGGGAGCTTGCGACCTGGGCACACAACCCGGGAGGGGGCATGGGGGGGCAATCACTAGTCATCGATGAAACATCAGGATGAATAGACCTCTGAAAAAGCCAGCCACTCTTGCTGGCGAAACGTTAGGATACAGTTCCAGACCACAACGGCCTTCAAACCCGAACGAAGATCGTAACACCGTAAATAACATCTCTCACCTTTCCCGATTTTTAATTGGAATTTAGGATCATCAAAATTCCACAGCTTTTGCAGGTTATGATTTTCGTACATGAAAATTGTGTAGGTGTTATTAACATCATTTCCCCCAATATATCTGAGATTCTTCAAAAAGTCCAAGGACCCCAAGTCGTTAGTTCTACCAACGGTGAGAGATCCGTCGATGTATTTGATGGAACCTAAATACTCCTCCAGATTCATTGGCAAGCTGGTAGGATCCAGCGATTTAATTTTCACTGCCAAAGAACCATATACGTGGGTGCAGCCTCTGAATTCTTGCAACTTAGCCATGTTATCGATGGTATCGCCTCTGCAAAGTCTCACGCATTTGTCTCCGCATAACCGGCACATAGTTTGGTTGATTCCTTTCTGGTCTATGAAAGAGATTTCCTGGTAGAATTGTGGACACTCGCTAACGCAGTGGCCGTCATGAGTCCACCAGTGGAGTTTCTTGACCATAGTGTGGCACTCTTCTTTCGTAACGCATTTGTTGGCGTAGTTGTGGACGTATCTGCAACAAAAAGAATTATATTACATTCTAGTGGTGTCGTCAGCAAAAAGAGTGAATGATCCAGATATACTTATGTTCATCAAATCGTTAATATACAACCGGAACAATATGGGACCGAGAACCTATCCCTGTGGTACACCAGTATTTATGTCAATACTGTCTGAACATTTAATCGTTTTCACAATCTGACTGCGACCATTGAGATACATCCATAGATATTCAGCTTTCGTAGCAGTATTTTATGATCAACGCAGTCAAACGCTTTTGTAAGGTCTCGAAATACTGCTGCTGCAGCAGCATCTCCATAATTCATATTGGAATACACCTCAAACAGGAAAACGAATATTGCATCATGTGTGCTCTTGTTGCTCTGGAATCCAAATTGATTTTTCCGTATAATGTTATGGCGAAGGAGGAATTCATTCATTTCAAGGAACAAATTTACGAAATTTTTAATAAACTTCCAAACGATATCGTTGATCAGTCAGATCGATCAGAGTACGGAATGGATTTATATTGCTCTTGCTTCTTTTATGCCAACGATATGAGTCTGAAGGATGTCACATTCTTCTGCGAGAGAGACCGTATAAGCAAGCAAAGTAAATTTGGTAGATATTTGAAATCAGGGTCGATTTCAGAGTAACCGGCGACTTCGCCAGAATCTTTACAATTTTTTGGTGTTTCAGAAAAACGAATATAATTAAATGAACTGAATCATCAGATTTTAGAGGATTGGTCCAACAAAAAATTACCCTGCTAAGGCTGTGATATCCCAAAAATGGGTATTTGATGACAGTATAAAGTTGTCAACAATTATGAATTGAATGACTTATAAATTTATTTTCTTCATTTTCTTTTCGTTACACTTCATCAATAAAATATCTGATTCTCTCACTTGCAATTCTCAACAGGAAGTTACGTTCACTGAAAACTGGTTTATTCATTTCCACTAGAATAGAAGCTAAATCGGGTAGCAGGAAAAGTTTGTGAATTGAACTGAAAAGTCCGCAAAATAAGCTAGAGACAGAATGAGCGAAATTATTTCAACATAGATTAAAAACTAAACTAATTCCACCTGAAACTAATACTGACTCAGAGCTTTGAAACAAAATCCGATGAATATAACCTTTGTGGAATGTGATGCCTTTCAAATTGAGATGATTCCCCTTTTGAGAAAAGGATGAATAACTAACTATTAGATTGTTTCAGGAGTTTTTCCCGTATTTATGGGTCTAATTTAAACTGTAATATCACTGTGAATACTTATTCGATTCAATCGAAATAAGCGCCATTTGAATCAGTGCGTAACACAAGTCGATTAATTCCGTCAGCATAAAAATTGTGAGCTTGGGATTCGATGGAGTTGACGAAGACAATGAATATTCATTGAGATATGGAGCTATAAAAACACATGACATTAAAACAAACAAAATTTTTTAAACACTATATTATAACATATTATAATGGAGAAACTCTTTCTTCCTGATATTAGAATAGAGATCAGCAGTTTCCTTCCACACTGGAAACAACTTTCCAGTGTTTGTGAATGATACAATGAATATTTTCTGTAATTTTCGAATTCCGAATGAACTTATTATTAATCATATACAGTGACTTTCAAAAAGTTTGCACCATACGGGAAACTTTTTTTATTATCTTTTATAACTTTTTTCCTAATCTCGGAGGTTCTACCGGCATAATTGATAATAACATATTTGTGTTCTGGTCTTGTGGAAATTGAGTACAGTTCTTTCATTATTGATTTTGTTGATATTTCATTATTCACTCTAGTTAACAACATTATAATGATATATCAACAAAAATTAATAATGAAAGAACTGTATTCAATTTCCACCTTCAATTATAGCTCTCATGATAAAATGTTCTTCAGTTGTTGGTTGTGAATGAGTCCGTTATCACAGACAACGTAATCGATATTCAATTTTTTGAATGAGAAAATAACAAAAAACACTTTCAAGGCCGTCCTTAACGGAAAACAATAATATCTTACTTGTTAGGCGGACATTTATCAACACATGTACCATTATCATCGTAATTCTTGCAAGCGTAGCAATGATCGGCGGAATTAGGTCTCGAACATCCCAAACATTCAATATGGCAGTTTTCGGTGTCAGTTATCTGACAGGATGTGCTGTTCCAGCAATAACCTGAAAAACAAAACTGAACGTTAGCTCACCGAGTTCTGAAATGACGCAAATAATTGTTGCGTCAGTGATTGCGACTGACAAAAAATTATTATTTTTAAATATCCATTCACCTCATTATTATGTACCTTTGAAATAAGGGGAAGTATTTAGATAAAATGAAAGGCGTTATTACTGGCTGAAATACATTTCAATATCCGTTTCAATGCTGTCAAATGTATGTATATCAAGTTGACAAGACAGTTTTCTAAATTTGCAAAACGAATGATTTCACAATTTGCCGCTATTTATTTGGTGATTAGTTGCGGAAGAAAATATTTTTTCGCCCCTTTTTTAAAAAAAAATACATGTTGTCTCGCTAACTTAATATCAAGTTGGCAATACCACTTTTTTATTATGAAGTTTTCCAGAACTTCGACTAGACCAGGGGTCTCCAAACTCCAAACTACGGTGTCATCAATCCGGCCCGCGACAGCCAATGATTACCTAATTGTTGCTACTATTGCTGTGATAAGTTGAAGAAGAAAACAGAATGATAATTACTCGGTTTCATTCACTTGCAAGGTAAAACTTAACGACAGAAATGATCACAAAGAAAACTTATATATGCTTAAACTTAAGTATCTAAGTTTAAGCATATTAATAACTAACAAATAATTGAAATGAATCACAGTAAAACAAAAACACTAATGAGATTTATGTAATTGTGATTTTTCACCGACAATACTTTGTAGTTGTGGATCAATTTTACTTGTACCAATTATCAAAAGAGATTCAAGATGCTCATCGGTTAATTGAGATCTGTAAACATTCTTTGTGTACTTCATCTTGGAAAACGTTTTCTCACACAAGTAAGTAGTACCAAAAACATAAAACAACCCACGAGCAAATTTATGCAAATTATCAAATTGTTCCAGAGGAAGACTCTTATAAAATTCCAACAAAGATGAATTTTGATATTTGTTCTTGAGCATATCACTTCACAGTAAATCAATAATTTCCATTTGGACTTCCGGAGCCAGGGTTTCAATGTCAGAATCAAAAGGATTTTGAAAAAGCTCAATTTCATTAGCAATGACATCAAAATCTGAAAATCAGAGTATCAAAATTTATCTTCAAAGCACTCAAAGTTTTGATTTCAAAATTGACGGGAAATTCAGTCTTTGTAGTGTGGCTGAATATTTCATATGTTTCAAAATGTGTGAAACATTTTTTACGTAATTGCGATTGAAATAGTATTATTTTCTGCCTGAAGGATTTAATATTGGTGTATAAATCAGGGAGAAGCTGATTTTCTCCTTGCAATCTCAAATTCAGTTCGTTCATATGATTTGTCAAATCGACATAGAAGGCTAACTTCCACATCCATTCACTATTTTCTAAATCGGCAAAGGGGCGCTGCTTCTCATTTTAAAAAAAATCAATATCTGCTCGAAGTTCAAAAAAGCGCTAAAGGACTTTTCCGCAACTAAGCCAGCGTACGGCAGTATGATATGGTAAATCATTTTCTCCAATCTGTTGAATAAACTTGCGGAATTGTCGGTGATTCAGCCCAGTGGATCTGATGAAGTTAACAACTGATATGGCCAGTTTTAGAACATCAGACATATCCAAACATTTTCCGCACAAGGACTGTTGATAAATGATACAATGTGAGACTAATGGTTTTGAACCACCATCATTTTCTACAGCCTTTGACACAAGTGCAACTAAAACAAAGAGGAAGATTAAACTGTTTTAGTTTAATCTTCCTCTTTGAAGATGATCACTTGGTGATCGAAACAAGTGTCGAGGTGTTAAAAATAACGATTTGGTGTTTTAGTCTTAGTTCAATCTTCCTCTTTGAAGATGATCACTTGGTGATCGAAACACGTGTCGAGTTGTTAAAAATAACGATTTGGTGTTTTAGTCTTAGTTTAATCTTCCTCTCTGAAGATGATCACTTGGTGATCGAAACACGTGTCGAGGTGTTGAAAATGACGATTTGGTGTTGGGAAAAAACTCCAGTAATATTCGTTACCTACCTAGATGATATTTGGGGCAAAAAATTTCATACTCCGCTGGTTTTTTGAAGTTTGTTCACATCTTTGAATTAAATAATTGGAAAATACCAATTTTTTTATGAATAAATTCTATGTCAGTACCAAAACAATTACTGAAAATGCGATAATTTCATACAAATTTCCTCAAGATAATAAACAAGTAGGTTGAGCAATTATTAGGTTATTTCAAATGTTCTGTCTGTTTTTATGAGTCTACTACTACCTGTTATCTCAAATATCGCAGAAACTGAAATTTCTGGGTATATTTTATCCAGTTAGCATTGATGCAACACCTTCATGGGTCAGTGGTCTTATTTTTCTATACTTATATTCGAGTACATTTTATAATTATTCTTTCAGACATGGAGGAGTATAATTAATCTTGTCACATTTCGAGACTGAATATGAATTTTGTATATCTGTACAAAATACCATTAGCCCACCATCACGTAAAATAATTTCTGAACCAAAAAATACTGGATAAATTAAAAATATCTACTACGTAGAACATTTAGTTTTCCAATCTTGGCGACAAGTTCCTAAAATTGAAAAAAATCCAAGTTGCGTCCATCTCTGTTTCGCTAAAATTTAGTATATGGGCGCTTCTTAGGCCAGAAATACGCACTAAGAAAGAATTTTCAAATATTTCATCTGCCCTTAAATTTCCAGTGGGTGAATTTATATTTAGTATCAGCATTGCACCCGTGCGGAGCCGGGACGGGTCGCTGGTATTGTATACCTGAGCTCTGAGCGGAAGGAGGCTACTATATTAGAGAAAATTCACAACTATACAGTCTACCACGATAAAGGAGTTCGGAAATCAATACAAAGATTGGAGATATCGCTTTTTGAATATAGAATAAATATTTTGTTCAATGATAATTTTTTTATTTGCTCAGTAGTTCACAACAGGTGGGAAACTATAAAATACCATATTCAAGAAACAGTTTATTTTTTTAAGGAACCATTTTTTTTTCTAAATATCATAATTTTTTTGAATTAACATAATGCAAAAAAACATTTTTAAGTGACAAATTCTGTTAGCGATAATTCAGATATATTTAGTTGCAAATTGTCAAATATAAAATCCCACTTCCTAAAATAATTGTTTTGTCACCTAAAATACCTAAATATAAAATGTGTAGTCTTTATAGTCACTTATTTGTATTGTTTGTAGTGTTTGTAGACTTTACAGTAACTTGGTTGTGATGTATTTATTATACTCTGTTATTTCCTGCTCTGTAATTGGGCTATGACCTGTAGAGTATTGTATTACAAATAAATAAATGAATCTTTTCAGATATTTTTTCAAATATCCAAAATTTTGAAAAGTTTTCGAGATATTCGAAAAAAAATTAAAGCCCCATTTTTTTTCACTTGATTGTTTATAACTTTGATAATTTTTTTCAACGCCTTCTCGGACCTTTCCTTAAACTTTCTAGGTAAAAATACGAATCCAATGATACCTTGGTCGTAATTTTTGGACCCGTCTATAAAATTTCACAAAAAAAGTATATGTGAACCAGACTAATACAATTCCTTCTTCGAGCGTTCATATTTTTTTGAGTTTTATATATTTATTTTTGGCTCCTCTCCCTCTAAACGACCTGAGGTGCTACCAAGCCCCCTCCAACTTGTTGCTCAGACTATAAAAATATTCCCAGAAATGAAAAGCTGGATGTAAAAAACTCACTATGAGAATGGTAACAATGAAATCCCTCGAGCACATTAATGTTGTTATTATTTAGGTTGGATTGCTAAAACTAATTTTCTAACACAAACACTCAAACTCCAACACAAACGGGAAAATAATGTGTATATCAAACAGCTGTAATCTACTAATTCCGTCTTATGTTACTGAAGGGCAAAACATCTCTTTATTTAATTTGATTGTAGGCGCAGTGACACCCCAAGGGAATTTGTCCGCTCAACTTCAGGTTCGTTAATTGAATTGGTTAATTTATTCCAGCAAATGACCCCAATCACTGCGTATTGACACACTGTTGAATAGCTTAGCACGTGGTTGCGCTGATGAGCATCAAGTTTCGAAAGCAATTAGTCAAGCTGTCCGCAAACAAAAGCCGCGTTGTGTCGCAGATACCCAAAATGAGAATAATTCAGAAGCAAATCCGCAGTTTTGCAGTCCTTCGACATGCCACTGAAAGTCGCATCCCATTATAAGTTTGTGTTCCATTATAATTTGTGACAGTTCCCTCCAACAAGCATTCTTCGGAGGTTACTGAATTATTCACATTGTTCAGAAGTGTGCATGATATTCATTAAGTGGGCTGGACAGTTCGTAGGGTAACACACAGATAGCGCTACTAGCTTTAAATCCATATGATTTTTAGTTAACCCAAACCTTCAAAAGTCACGTGTACAAATTTCACAGCCATCGGACTGTTAGTTTCTGGGATATAAAATTTCAAGTGAAGCAACTTTTGTTAGAAAATTAATCAAAAACGATTTTCGTATATTAATAAACCATTGTTTTTGGCGAAAAAAACGATGGCAAAGTTACATTAAATGGGCTTTGACTCGCCTCCGCATTCACCATATTCTCCAGAACTGACCCCCAGCGACTTCTTCCTGTTCTCAGTGAGAATGCTCGCTGGCAAGGAACTCAGCTCCGATAAAAGGTAATCCTCGAAACAGGCATATTTTGAGGCTGAAAACAAACTGTACTATAAAAGTGGTATCATAAAATTGTTTGACCGCTATAATCATTTCAGTAGTTCTAGAAGGCAACTATTTTGAATAATAAAATCAAATTTCATCAGAAACATGAATGAGAAATATAGTTTTGTGCAACATTTTTCTGAGAACATTATTTTTATGATAATCATCATTACAACAGATCATTAGATATTCACGTGAGAACTATGGCACCAGACTCAAATAAGTATATTCTTTTTCAGTTGTACTATGTTTATGAGAAGGTATATTCTTTTTTCTTCTGGA